TTCTAGGCTGAAGGACTAAGCATAATCAGTAGAGGGGCTCTGAAAGCCTCCCTCCCAGATGTGTTCAAAAACAGCAGGAAGCTATTTTTGGTAGAGATGAATAAGCAGTGGGCAGAGCAGTGGAGTAAAGTAGACAGGGAAGTAGGGAAGTGCATGTGTAGGACCTTGTAGACCATTTGTAAGAATAAATCTTACTGAGGTGGGGTGGAAGAGATACAATATAACTTATAGTTTGTTCATATTAGACTGTAAAGGGTTAAAGGCAGAAGTAGGAAAATGAATATTACAGTAATTTAGGTGATAATAACCAAGACAGGGTTGAACATTGAAGATGGTAAAAAGTGGTTACATCCTAAATAAATTTTAAAGGTGGAAACATTAGTATATAGACATATATGTGGATATGGGGAATGTGTGCATATATGTGAAAGATAGAGGGGAGTGGGGAATTAATTAGCCAAAGATGATTTTAAGATTCTTAGCCTAGGCAATATCAAGTAGACAGTTGGATATACTAGTTTGGAGCTAAAGGCAGAGCTCCAGGATATACATGAATATTGGAGTCATCAGTGTATTATAGTGTTGAACCATTAGACTGGATGAGATCCTCAAGGGAACATGCTTACCTTAAAAAAAAAAACCAAACAAACAAGAGATCTGATGACTGAGCCCTGGGATCCTCCTCTCCTTAGGAAATAAAAGAGAACAGAAGGAATCAGAAATGGAGAACAGAAAGAGTTGTCTTTAAGGTGAAATGAAAACCAGAAGAATATAATGTTCTAGAACCTAAGTGAGGCAGGCGTTTCAAAGAAAAGAACATGATGAACTATGTCAAACAGTAGTGCTAAACCAATCAAAAAGGGAAGGGGTTAGATGATGATTAAAAAGTGACATGGGATTTATCAACAAGATTAGTGATATTGATGAACAATTCTGGTGGAATAGTGGTGGTGAAATTCAGTGGAGTAAGTTTTAGAGAGAATGAGATAAAACAGGTATTAAAGAAGGCATAGACACCTATTTTGAAGCATTTTGCTCTTAAAGGGGACCTGATAATATGGTGGTAATTAGTGCAGAGTTTTGTTGTTTTTTTTAACAGTGGGAGAAATAACCAATTTTGTGTACTGATTATAAAGGTATCACAGAGAGAGCACGATGATGCAGAAAGACAGGAAAATTACTTAAACAGTGAATGAATAGGAAAAACAGAAAAGTATCTTTTTTTTATTGTTATAAGTTGCAGGGTTTGCATCAGAAAGGGGCTTGGCCAGCTTGTCTCCAGAGAAGGGAAGGAGGAGTATATGTGGATAGACAGTGGTAGGTGGACACATGCACTGGTACAGGCAGGGTCATCAGCTGAAGGTGAGAATGGTAAGAATGGTACTGGCGATTGAAGAGAAGAAATAAGAGAAGAAATCAAGTAGTTTGAAAAAGTGAATAGATTTCTGGCCAAGATGGAGGCGTAGGTGGAAACACTGTACCTCCTCACACAATCAAACTTAAGGACAACAGAGATTTAGAAACAAAAACATAACCAGAACAGACAGAAAAATTGAACTATACCAAAGTCCGACAACAACGAACCATTCATCTAGACCGGTAAGAGGGGCAAAGTCGGCGGCTGGTGGAGAGGGGTCCCAGCAGGAAGAGGCAGTGGCTGGCAGAGGTGGGCACAGGGAGCAAACGTGCAGACCCAACCCAGTGAAGCACGCAAGCTGGTTGGCTGACCACAGACACACATTCACGTGCAGATAAACCAGGCAAAACAAGGGGGCAGTGAGACAGACCGCACAACCCAGGGCCCCAGTGATGGGAAATAAAGCCTAAAAGCACGATTAGAAAAGCTTTCTGGGTTTGAGGTGCCAGGAGAGGCTCCCAGGCTCACAAGAGAGTTCGTCGGAGAGACCCACAGGGTCCTAGAATGTACACAAGCCCACCCACCCAGGAACCAACACCAGAAGGGCCTCATTTGCTTGTGGGAAGTGTCAGAGGGGACCAAAATCCGAGAGAGAGTGGAACAAACACCATTGCTTCCTCTCTGACTCTGCCCCCACATACAGCATCACAACCCAGTGACTGGGTTGACCAGCCCTGGTGAACACCTAAGGCTCCGCCCCTCATACATAACAGGCGCGAACAGACCAAAACATTATGGCTCAAACAGAACAGATCAAAGCCCCAGAGCCAATACTTCTAAGTGACCAAGAGATAGCCAACCTATCAGATACACAGTTCAAAACACTGATGATTAGGATGCTCACAGAACTGGTTGATTTTGGTCACAAATTAGATGAAATAATGAAGGCTACACTAAGTAATATGAAGGAAAATGCACAGGGAACCAATAGTGATGGGAAGGAAACTGGGGCTCAAATCAATGGAGTGGACCAGAAGAAAGAAAGAAACAACCAAACAAAAAAGAATGAAGAAATAAGAATTTTAAAAAATGAGGAGAGGCTTAGGAACCTCCAAGACATCTTTAAACGTTCCAACATCATATTATAGGGGTACGAGAAGGGGAAGAGGAAGAGCAACAAGTGGAAAAATTGTTTGAACATAAAGGAGAACTTCCCTAATCTGGCAGAGGAAGTAGACTTCCAGGAAATCCAGGAAGCTCAGAGAGTCCCAAAGAAGGTAGACCCAAGGAGGAACACACCAAGGCACATCATAATTACACTAGCCAAGGTTAAAATGAAGGAGAGAATTCTAGAAGCAACAAGAGATAAGGAGGCAGTCACCTACGAAGGAGTTCCCATCAGACTGTCAGCAGATTTCTCAAAAGAGACCTTACAGGCAAGAAAGGGCTGGAAAGAAGTATTCCAAGTCATGAAATCTAAAGACCTACATCCAAGATTGCTCTATCCAGCGAAGCTTTCTCTTAGAATGGAAGGGCAGATAAAGTGCATCTCAGATAAGGTCAAGTTCAAGGAGTTCATCATCACCAAGCCCTTATTATATGAAATGTTAAAGGGACTTATCTAAGAAAAAGAAGATAAAAAATATGAACAGTGAAAGAACAGCAAACTCACAGTTATTAACAACCACACCTAAAACAAAAGCAAACTAAGTGGACAGCTACATTAGGAGCGGAGTCACAGATATGGAGATGAAATGGAGGGTTAGCAACAGGGGAGTTGGAGGAGGAAATGGGGGAGAAGGTACAGGGAATAAGTTGCATAGACAGGGAGGGAAAGAGTAGTGTAGGAAATGTGGAAGCTAAAGAACTTATGACACATGGACATGAACTAAAGGGGAGGAATGTTGGGGGAGTGGGTGTGCAGGGTGGAGGGGAATGAAGGGAAATGGGACAGCCGTAATGGCATAATCAATAAAATATATTTAAAATTTTAAATAAAATCTTTGAAAAAAAGACAAGAAAAAGTGAATAGACTAGGCAAATGTAGTGGTACTACTGGGCTGATTGAATTCCATGAAGATTAATTTAATGTGAGATCAGTCACATTAAACCTAGTTCTAGGTTTTCAGCCATGTTCATCTGTTGATTACAGGTAGAGAATGTATGGAAAGCTTGACTTAACCAGGGTTCTGGTTTATCAAACAAGTAGGGCATAAGAGGAGGGTGTATATTAGAGCCAATTGCGCAAGCTTTTTCATAAAGGGTCATGTAGTAAATATTTTTTGGTATTGTAGGCTATATGGTCTGTCTGTCACAACTGCTCAAGTCTGTCATTGTAGCTCAAAACTAGCCATGGATAATACTTAAGTGAATGAGCATCACTGTATTCCCATAAGACCCTACAAAACCAGGTAGCATGACTGCTTTGTTTACAGATCCCTATGTTATAAAATGAGGGTAATGACAGACCGTGAAATTTAAACTGGATGTAAAGGGAAGAGAGGAGAACATGAGAGAGTGAAGGATAGTGAAAAAAGGTGATAAGGTCAGTGGTATGTTGTCTCACTAAAATGTTTTCTGAGCTCTGCTGTGCTCTTTGATCTTTGACCCCACCTGGTTTTCTTTCTGCCTGAAATGCTCCTTTCGTACTCAGTTTAGATGTATCATCTTTTTTTTTTTTTTACCTGTACCCTTACTTCCTTTGCAGTGGTTACTGACATATAGTGAATACTCAGTAAACACTGAAAATTGAAATCTTCACATCAGTGTGGTAGATAAGATGATTTTGAATTGGGAAGATTGTGAAAGTTTGTTTAACTGCAGATTTTCCCACTCAGTAGCCAATTCCAGATTTGAACACAGTGATTCTCAACTTTGTTTTCTGCTTTAGTTTACTTCTCTACTATTGTTCACGTGTTCAGGGTAAGGGTAGCTCTCTGTTCTTCTTTCCTGATTGGTACTTAGTTGAAATTCCCTTCTTTCTCTCCAATGATCTTGGATTGGTGTCTTTATGCTGCTGAGAATGGATATTTAAACATGTGACCTGCAATAATACCTTAATACCTGTGAGTATGGTAACTTGCTGCCTTATAAGTTATTTTTTTTCTTTCAGTTAATTGTGGAAGACAAGTGGTTGTTCTACTAAGTATAGACTATCAGATAACCATAGAATCTTTTTGTAGAGGTTAGAGAAATTTTCAAGAACATCTAGTCCAACTTTTCATATTGTAGTTGAAGAAACTAAAGCCTAGAAAGATTTAAGTGACTTGTGCCCATCAGTTAGGAGCTGAGCTAGGCCAGTAATGCAACTATTTCAGCTCCCAATTCACTAATCACTTTACTACTATGACACCTTTTCTAGAAAATATGAATTTTTGTGATAGGTGATAACCTTTAAAACCATATACCCTAAATAATAGTTTAAATATGGTTAGGAATCTTAATAGTGCTGGAAAGGTATAATAGTTTGTTTTTATTATTATGGTTATGTTCTAATTTAATTTTGTATAATTAAAATTAAACACAGAAGTGTTCATTCTTTTTAATCCAAATAAGTGAATGTAAAGAGCATTTACTCTAATTTGAATTTAAAGACTAGTTTCTAATCTTGTTTTGTTTTTTTTTTTTTAATAAACTTTTTCAGAAAGATGAGGTCTATCTTAATCTGGTGCTGGACTATGTTCCGGAAACAGTATACAGAGTTGCCAGACACTATAGTCGAGCCAAACAGACGCTTCCTGTGATCTATGTCAAGGTATGTAAAACTGGAGCAGTTTCCCATTTAACCAAGTTCATGATCCATGAGCCAGAGAAAGGGCTAGGTGTGTTGTAACTGTAGTATTGTATCTAATCCTAAAAGGGAAAATCTTCAACGTAGGCATTGCTGGAGCTTCATTAAATTCTTGTACAGTTTTAAAGTGTGAAATCTTTACCTTTTAAACTGTCATAACTCAGGTATTAAAGATACTTGTGATTTTTCTGACAAGTGAACTTTTTCACAGACAGTTGTAGACTAATTTTGCTAGGCATAGCACACCTTTTAAAAAAACAATTCTGATGTACTTATTGTGCCACAGACTGAAATTAGAGTAAGCATATCATATGCAATTATAACATATTGTTGTTAGTATGATCAAATTCAGTGTTTTATTGCCATTGTAGATATATTGTGTTTGTAGCTAAAGTTTAAACTTTTGATAATATTTAATATACATAGACTCTATCTAATGTGTTATTTAATTTGTGGTACCTAGTACCAATGTCATCTTGTTTATTTGATAGAACTCATGACAGAATGGCTAAGAATTTGTCTAGCACAATTCTGATTAAATATCTGATTGCTATTTATATTTTCAATATGTTTTATATAGTTTTTTAATTCCTTTGTTAGAATTGGGATCCAATAAAGGTGCATATATTACAATTGCCAGATATGCTTCTTAATGTTTCTTTTAATCTCTAATTTCTTTCCCCCTTTCTCTCTCTCTTTCACAACTCTGTTATTAAAGAGACTGGGTCATTTGATCTACAGTTACTTGGTCTGGATTTTACTGCTTAGATCACTATGCTACACTGTAGTGTACTGCTCTCCTCTGCATTTCCTATAAATTGGTGATAGGAATCAAGACTACTTATATATAGTGTTGAGTGCTTTCCTAAGGAGGAACATAATGTCTTTCTTTCTGTGATGTCTGTTTTCATTGGTGGTAATTGCCTAAACCCATTAATTCATTAACAGTTATAAAATGATAATGTTGTATTCCTTTTTACCTCATAAGCTAGTATAGTTTCATAAATGGACCCTTTTCCATGTCAACTATTTCATTACCCTAAGGAATAGTTTATATAAGACAGGACATATATGTAATTATTTCCCTTTACTTACCAAAATTTATAATAATTTATTGGTATCTTCCAAAGGTGACCAATGGGATATGTTTTTTTGTTGTAGAGTTTGTTTTAAAGCTTCTTACACAAGTCTTATTATCTTTGATAGCTTTCTTTCTAGTATGATCATGCTCTAGTTTCATCTTTTACATTTCTTTCTCAGACTTGGAATGAGCCTTTTTTTCAAGGCGAATTTACTCTTTTAGTGTGAAGTGGTATTTAAAGGCCACAGTCTGGATGTTAGGGGTGCTACTTGCCACAGGATTGCAAGACCTACTGTTTTTAGGTCTTTTTCATAGACAGAGGTAGGAAATGTGTGGATAACTTTTTCAGAGGTAAAAATGTATCTTTTATTCATCCCAAAGATTAATACACTATGAGTTCATGTTGATATTTCTAATTAAATATCAGAAGGTTTAACAATCTTCCATCTGTATTTCCTTTCTCTAACACTAAAAATTCCATTTTTTCAATGACAGTATAATTACTTACTTGTTGTATACCGTACTGTTTACATACAACAGTCTTAGGATAACAATACCAACACTACCAATACCAGATGAAAATAGTTAAGATCTTTTTGCAGCTCTTTTTTCCCCACAATATATCCCATTAAGATGAATGGTCACATTTCTCTACTTTAAAGAAACATTGAATAATTTCTTTCTTTGATTGTGCCTCACTAAGCTTTGTTTAACTTTACTTTTATTGTAGATTGTGTTTAAAAAATTTTAAAGTTAATTTACATCAAAATAGAAAATATTTACATAGTTCTAAAAATAGAATCTATAAAACAAGGTATGTATAGTTAAAGAAGTTTAGCCTTTATCTTTGTTTCCTCTACCCTCTTACTTCCCTCCCCCAGAGTTGTGTTTACATTTTAAGTTAGCAAATGTGTATAATTGTTTTATCTCCCCATCTTCTTTTTATGTAAATGGTTACATAATATATACATTTCCTCTACTTTTTAATTGAAAATATATTCAATTGAACCAGAGAAGCCCTGGCTGGTGTAGCTCAGTGGATTGAGCACAGGCCTGCGAACCAGACAATAGCGGTTCGATTCCCAGTCAGGGCACATGCCTGGGTTGCAGACCAGTTCCCTGCAGGCCAGTTCCCAGCAGGGGACGCACGAAAGGCAACCATACATTGATGTTTCTCTCCCTCTCTCCTTCCAAAGATAAATAAATAAAATATTTAAAAAAAGAAAATATATTCAATTGAGTATATTTAATTTTTAATATGTTAAGTATTGTTTTAATAATAATATTATTAATTGAAAATATATTCTGGCCCTGACTGGTGTGATTCAAATGGATTGGCATCATGCCACAGAGCAAAAGTTCACTGAGTCACAGGTGTGGTCCTCTGTTCGGGTGTGAATGAGAAGCAGCCGATTGATGTTTCTCTCCCACATTGGTGTTTCTGTCCTTCTCTTTCTCCTCCCCTTTCCATGTCTCTAAAAAATAAATCCATCCATCCATCCATCCATTCATACATAAAATCTTAAAATATATATATTCTAGAGCTCACTCTATAGGGTAGGTAGATAGATATGTACGTACAGAGCTGTTTTGTCTTTTTATGGTTGTATATTATTCTATTGTATGGCTATATCCTAATTTATTCAACTAGTCACCTATTATAAGGACATATTGTTTTTCCCTTCAGTTTTTTTTTTTATTGCTATTCCCCATAATGTAGTGAAGAGTTTTGTGCTCATCTGTTTTTGTGACTGCATATATTTGGATGAGATCTTTGGAATCTGTACTTTTAAAAAATAATATTATTATACACACTGAAGTTGGCATTCAAAGAAAGATCTAACATTCCCTTTCTCCCCTTGTGGAAAAAAAATGGTTCTTTTATATAACCACAGTCCTTCCAGAGTCAGAGCTATTGGCCCTGGACATTATTCTTTCAGAACACAAACCCATGTTTGTGTTTAAGGATCCAAAAAGATAAAAAATTTGTTTGGAATTGATTAGCTGATCTCACTGACTTATTCTATATAGTTTTATGAAAGTATTTTGGTGAAAAAATCTTAGATTAGGAGATGGAAATAAAATTGATAAATATATGTAACTTTTGCTTTCATGGACCTCATCATCTAATAAGAACTTATATGGCATACATGGTATCAAAATGCAACTGCAGTTTTTTGTGACTGTCCTGTTTGCTGGGGGAGTTGTGTACGTTCTGTGAGTTTATTGCTTCAAACCTCTTTCTTCACCCCTTTTATAGTACTGGTCACTTTGTAGTTAACGATAGTTCTATTTAAGTTAAGCTTTTGAGCACCTTTGCTTTTCTGATGAACATCTTTCATAATTAAGTGGGTTTTCAAATACAGTTCTAAAACAGATGCCTGGCAAATCATCGTTGTGGTCTTGAATTTTTTTAAATTGGAAAGACATTTAACAACAGGGTCTGTGTACATAACAGAACTGGATGTGTTTTTGTGAATCAGGAACAAAATTTTTATTCCATTATTTGTTTCAAACAGGTTTAGTAACATAGAGGCGAGGGGGAGGACATTGGACTTGAGTTAGATTTGATAATTCTGTAACTGGGTTTAAATTGTGTTCAAACTGTTCATTGGGCCTCAATTATCTCTCATAAAAATTAGGATAAATGTGGATCTCACAGAGTGACTGCAATTACTAAATAAACAAAAAGTGAAATGCTTGGTTTGACATGTACATGTTAAGCAGATCTCAGGTTTCAAAATGTGCCTAAATATCTGACTTTGTAAGAGTTTATCATTCTAGTCTTTTACTTAGTGATCAAGCTATTTAATATTTAATATTTTTGTACTTTTAGTTAATAGAGTAAGAACATGACAAAATAAAGAAATTATAATTAAAAGAGGCATACTTACCCAAACCACCACAGAATATTGAGTATGTGTTATTGGACAGATGGCTTAACCTATGTGCCTCAGTTATTTTATGTATAAAATGGAAATAATAATAGTACCTATTACATAATATTAAATGAAATAGTGCATGCAAAGCACTTAGAATAGTGCATGTCAAATGATCAGTTGTTGTTTCTTGTTACTGTTATCTTTCTAGTGTAGCGAGCCTCTCAATTATCCTACAAAACACTTTTGCAGGGTCAAACAACAAAGTTATAAAATTGCATATTTCATTCTTTATCTTGACTTTTCAAAAAATAAAGTGGAGAGAATGGAGATAGAGTAGATCTTTCAGATGAATGAATATAATAAAAAGACCCCTTAACCTCATTTAAACCCTTAAACATTTTTAGCAAAGAAAACATTTTTCTAACTGATTCTTGCTGACCTACACATCAGTGTCTTGACACAGGTTAATAAAGTCTCCCCTTTAGTAAATTAATGTCTGTGAATTCAGTTTCTTATGGGGGATTATTTTCATAGTGGCAGAGAATTAAACTCTTAGAACTCTGAGAGTAAGCTTTAGGACTTGGAGACTGACTCTGTGAACAATGGTACAATATTAGAATTAGGAAGTTTTTAGAAAGTTTTATGGATACCTGAATTACTTAATTCTAACTTTGGTGGCAAAATACTGACCTAATTGAAGATCTTATCTATACATTTTATATCATACTTCCTTTTAAAGAAGGCTTAAACTGTTTCAGCTTCAGTTCAATATAATGTTAAGGATGTACTGAAATTCACCTGTTTCCATTTTTCATGATTCCTGTGTGAAGGAAAATAGATTTCATGTTAAATTTAATTAACTAAATCTTAACATTAACCTCTAAATATGGTCCGGCCTTATGACAATGCTTTGTCTGACCTTTAATTGTCTTTTTTGGTTTTTGCTGTGTTTTTTTTTTAACCAAGCCACTAGTATCTTTGGTTTGAATCACTTCAAAAACTCTTTGCATGGTGTATATAACTTTGGGGTAGAGGTCAGAAGGTGAGTAGTCAAAAAAATTTGAAGTGAACCAGAATGTGGACCCTGGAGTAAACAGAAGATTTAAGATACATAGTTGACCCTTTAATGCAAGTGTAAAAGGTGACAGTGACCCCCCCCCAACCCGAGATAAAAATTTACCTCTAACTTTAGACACACCCCCACACCTCCCCACACACCAGAACTTAACTACTAATAGCCTACTGTTGACTGGAAGCCTCACTGATAACAGAAATAGTTGATTAATACATATTTTGTATGTTATATGTTTTATATACTGTATTCTTTCAACAAAGTAAGCTAGAGAAAAAATGTTAATAAGAAAATTATAAGGAAAATAAATAAAAGTACTGTATTTATTGATACTTAAGTTTAAGATTTATCATCTGATATGTCATCTTTCAGTACCTATATCATTATTTTCTTGTATGATCCAAAACGTTAAATATTATATGTATTACTAACATTAGGCATAAAAATTAAAAATATATGAAAAAAATTCAGTATGTTTACGGTTATAACAATTCATGCACTGATAACAAAGCAGCAGCAGTGTGATAGCTTTATGGTACCCTAGAGTAATTGACATGATTGCTTCACAGTAGTAAGGAAATCTCCAAAAGATTGTTCAATATATTGTTGAAGAAATACACGTATAAGTGGGCCTATGCAGTTCAAGCCCATGTTTGTTTTCAAGAGTCAACTGGACTCACTTTCTTCATAAAGTCCCTCTCCTCCCCAGTCAAGAGTCTCATTCTTTCTTCCATTCAGACCCAATTTCTTACTGCTTTTCACCTAATACAATTGAAATAAATATTCTTTTAAGTTGACATCAGTAGTCGCTAGGATCTGTTTTTAAATGGCACTTTGAAGTCTTTTTCAAAGTGTATAAGTGTAATGATTCCATTAACAGGATTACTGATATCTTGATTGATCATTGATTACAGATTTTCTCAGTTTATGTAGAATTTTTCCATGCCTCTGTCTCAGTAAACTTTGAAACTGAGATCTAAGAAAATTGTTATTCTGAAGATAAAGCTGCAAATACTCTTAAAGAATGATAACTTAAACTGAATACTTGTCTTTTAGTCTATACTTTGTTACTTATTAGTCACATGATTTGGAAAACCTCTAGGCTTTTTTTTAGGGTTTTTTTTTTTTTTTTTAGTTTTTTAAAATAAATTTTATTTCTTTATCTCTAGAGGGGAAGGGAAGGAGAGAGGGAGAGAAATATCAATGTATGGTTGTCTCTCATGGGTCCCCTGCTGGGAACTGGCCTGCAACCCAGGCATATGCCCTGACTGGGAATTGAACCGCAATCCTCTGGTTTACAGGCCCGCGCTCGATCCACTGAGCTACACCAGCCAGGGCTGGGCTTTTTATCTGTTTGGGAAAAAACATTAGCAGGTTTGTTGTACAGTGTTAGTAAAATAAAAAATTGCAAGGCACATTATAAAGCATCCTTTATAAGTTATTAAAGGACGGTGTAAATATAATACATGATTGAAACTTTAATTAGCTAATTAGCATAGAAATGACATGAGACTTATTAAAGGAAGATTGAGTGCTAATAATCTCCAGCATTTCACCTATTATGTTCTGAAAATCTGTTACTTTTCTGTTTAAGGATTTTGATTATTTGGGATAGAAAGTATTTAATTAATTTTTACTATTTATTTCAGTTATATATGTATCAGCTGTTTCGAAGTTTAGCCTATATTCATTCCTTTGGAATCTGCCATCGGGATATTAAACCACAGAACCTCTTGTTGGACCCTGATACAGCTGTCTTAAAACTCTGTGACTTTGGAAGGTAAGCTAGCTCTCTTTTCTTCTCCCTTCCCTCCTCTCCTACCTTACCCTTTCACCCATATGCTTTTTAAAAAATATATTTCTTTTATAATGACAGCCTAAAAATACTGTAGTTGTCATTCAGGGAATATAAAATAGTGCAGCTTCTCAGGAGGGTAGTTTTGGTAGATTTTGTCAGAATTATAAATGTATATAATCTTTCATCCAGCAACTTAACTCCTGGAAATTATTCCCTTAGAAATACACATTTACAAAATAGTATATGTATAGGGATTTTTATCATAGCATTGTTTATAAATAAATGTCTGTCAGTAGGAGAATGACCAGATAAATTATGGCATGAGGTGTCTCTCTCTGAATTGAAAAGGAATGATCTATAAGAAATTCTAAATTTAAGAAGCAAGATCAAGATCAGTATAGTCATATATATACAAGTATATACATGGCTTATTTCTAGAATGATACATAATCATTCCATGACGTTGATTGCTCCTGGAAGGGAAACTGGGAGTATAGTTGAGGTAGAAAATTTTTTCACTGATTGTACTTTTGTATGGTTTGAATTTTTACTATGTGTATATATTCTTTTTTCAGTAAGGACTAATTTTTTAAAAATATTGACTATTATATGTCACTTTGTATCATTTAAAATTGATAGTTAACCTCAGGGTAGAGATGAGATAAAAGGTATAGTAGCCGTATTTTCTTCCTTTTCTTATAATGTAGTCTCTTATTCTCTGTTCTTTCCTTCAATTTCAGTGCACTTTCTGTTTTCTTAAACTCATTCCTTGATGTAATATATTGTGTAATAAGACTTCATCCTTTCCATCTCCATAATGTTCAGCATCTCGTGCCTCTCCAATCTAACATTTCAATGTGAAGTCAAACCTATATCCCCATGTAATTCAGGCAGTTAATCTTCGGCCTCCTCTCTGGTGTAATCGTCTGGAGTAACCACATTCCTCTCAGTCCCTAAGACTTCTCCACATAACTTGAAATCTCTCCAGTTTTTTTCATTTTCACAAATTTTTACTTTTTAACTAGGCTCTTTATAGATATTGACCCACACCTGCTTACACCTTTATTCCCAGCTCTTTGTAATATTTTTATATCAACCCTGGGTTTAAAGTTGAGATTTAATCCAGGATATATTTCACACAGGCTGTCTTTTCAGAGAGTCTTAGCAAACACATCTGCTCTGCCATGAGTTAATTCTTCTTAGTCTTATAAGAATGTCCTTTTTCAGATCATTCCCTTTTTACAGTTTCCTAATTTCAGACACCTATTACCAAGATCCATTCCATCCTGCAGGCTGTACCTCTATCCCTTCAACTATGAGAAAGGATGTAGGATATTAAATCAAAACTAATTTGATAGTTGAAACAAAGCAGTACTATTATTAATTATATGTAGGACAAACTGCCCAAATCATGTTGTATTTTTATGCAGTGTCTTCCCTCCTGAGAGTGACTGATTGGTAGGGACTATAAACAGACTATGAGACATCAAGTTTAATAGAGGTTATCCTCACCACGGTAGTGTCAACACTGTTGCTGTCATTCATTACATTGGTACATAGAACCATTACATTGGTTCTAGAACCAATAAATACTTTGTTTTAATGTATTTAGAATAGGGATTTCATTTGTAATATCTCATTTTTAATAGCTCTGATTTAAAAGTTGGCTTTTTTGTTTTTAACAGTTGGTTTGGACAAGTAGAGTTTTGGATATACTTTAGATGCTTAGTGCCAGGTTGATGATGACTTGAAAAAAACAGTATGACTCTCTTATTAGTAATTCTTGTTTTGTTTTGTTTTATTGTTGTTCAAGTACAGTCATCTCCATTTCCCTCTCCACTCCCCCCACCCCAGCCATTCCCACTTCCCACCCTCGATCCTACCCACCTTTGGTGTTGTCCATGTGTCCTTTATAGATATCCTAAAAACCCCTCCCCATTTTCCTGCCTTCACCTGTGGTTACTGTCAGTTTGTTCCCCTCTGGTTACTGTCAGTTTGTTCCTAATTTTATTGTCTCTGGTTATATTTTGTTTGCTTATTTGTTTTGTTGATTAATTCTTTACTAAATGAAATAGGGCCTGGAACTAGGTGAATGGTTGGTTGGGCTTTCTTTACTGTATTAGATGCTCTCACCCTCAAAGGGCCGGAAGTTACAGCCAGCCTCACCTAAAGAGAAAGAGGTAATTCCACCAAGTAGTGAAGGAATCTACAAGCTACATCATCCTGTAAAAGGAAAGGTCATGGGTTTAATCCTGGTTAGGGTGCATACCTAGGTTGCCGTTTGGTCCCTGGTCAGGGCATGTGCAAGAAGCAACCGATCAGTGTTTCCTTCTCACATTAGCGTTTCTCTCCCTCCATTCCCCCCCCCCTAAAATCAATAAGCATGTTTTCAGGTAAGGATAAAAAAAAATCTATAGGCTATAGAGTTTCCAGTATTATTTTTTTTATCTTCTAGTAAATTTCTGACTATATAATTAGAATCTTGTCTTGTTAGTTTAAAAAAAAAGTTCTTCATAAGGTGAAAGGTTTTAGCAGTTAATGCTGAAAAGTGCCATAATTTTCATGCAGCCTAAAACCAGGGATTATAATATTTATTAATTTATAAAATGGTTGCTGTGTGTCAGTACTTGTGGAGAATGTAAAAAAATAAACTGCCTTCAACCTCCAAAACTTGGGGTGAAGGAAGAATAGGTTAAAGTCAGAGTTATCATTGACCACAAATAAATGAAAGAAAAAGAAAGCCCAAACTTTGAAACCTTTGTGACCACTTTCATCTATCCCTACTCTGATTTTCCTGTACCTTTACCTCAAAATTTTCTTACCTTTTCTTGTTGCTCAACTTTAATTTTGTTTGTATTCATTTCCTGTATTTGTCTTTGTAATTATTGTATACTAAAATAGTTAGCTTCTACAATAGTTTATTTCAGCATGTCTTCAAGTTATCTTGGGGGATATCTTGAAACTAATTTTAATTTACTTAATAAAGTTTAAAGTATTGTATATTGCGCATTTGGAAGGAAATTGGATTAAGAGAATGTAATTAAACTCAGGACAACAGTTAAAATTTATAGGCTATGACTAATCTCTGCCCTAAAGGACTGAGCTTTTCTTTTTTATTGGGTATTGGATATTCAGTTAGTTTATAAATTGACTAAAATGGTAGAAAAATAGATTGGGTCTGTAAGTCTTTGGGATATTTCTAGTCAAAAGTCAAATTATAAAGGAGTGGCCAGTTTCTTACCCTTAAAAAAAAATTGGGTAAAAAGTGTTCATTTTTACATTATATCCTATTACTGTGTTTTTTGGTGAGGACAGCTACCTCTTTTCTGACCTTTCTTTGTATTTTAGAGGTGGTATTTAGGGAACAGAGAGGATCAGAAGAAATTCAGCATATCCTTCTATGACTATTTATCTCTTTTCCTTAGGTAATAGTTGACAGATGAAGTCTAAAAATTACTGTTATTTTTAAAATTAATGTCATGCTAAAATTGTTTCTTTTTTCAGAGATAGTTATGATTGATATTTTTCATATGTTGTATAAATAGAATTACATGAATCTTAGATAAGCATTTAATTTTGTGAGCAGTTTAGATTCTTTCAAGGTTTAGATTTCGTTTTAAAATTTTTCTGTTCTTTGTTTTTGTTAGTGCAAAGCAGCTGGTCCGAGGAGAACCCAATGTTTCATATATCTGTTCTCGGTACTATAGGGCACCAGAGTTGATCTTTGGAGCCACTGATTATACCTCTAGTATAGGTGAGTACTGAATCTGAATATAATGACTTGTAACTATTCATTGAATCTTGTTTTTAGTAGTTTAGTATTACTAATTTGTACTTTCACTTAAATACTATAAAGATGAATATACCTTAAAATGTTTTTTCTTAAAGATTGATGTGCAAAAATGGGTACACTATTTTAAATTTTACCTTTTAGAATTTAAAATATATTTACTATTCTGTTCGGTTTCTTGGATTTTTCCAAATAAATAATAAAGTTATTTCTTTATGACTGTGTGATTTCTTTATGATTACATCTGTTTTTAACTTAAACTTTCAAGTAAATCCTAAGTATACTTTCCTTTTCTTTTTTTAAAAAATTGTCCTGAAATACTCACTTCTGAGCTTTATCAACAGTTGCAGGATTTGCATTCATTGAGTTTATGAAGAAGAGTACAATGATGAGCATATTGTTGACTTTCCTACCATGCTGTTTCAATTAGTTATTTAATTTTAATTCAGATCTTTGAAAATATTCTGACTTTTTAGAAGTCTTTATGAAAGATCTATAGTGATGAGTTGAATAGAGATACTTGGCTTCAGTAACTGAATTCCTCTTCTATCCTATTTTGCCTAGTAGTAGGAGTAGACTCAGTATAAGCTGGACGTGAACAGGAAGTTAAGAAAGTAGGTGCAACTTTAGGCTAGGTGCAAGTGGAGGTCAAAATTACTTTATTGTTATAAATTGTTTTTGAAGATAATTCTTTATTCCAAAAACAGAAACAAAAGCATACAAATACCAAGAAAAACAAACAACAAAACCCCCCAAATTTTAGTAACAGAAAACTAAGAAAAAACAGAACTTGGATAATTTTTGTCTTTTGATATAAGTAGAAATTCTCTATAACAAAGATATTAACAAAGACCACTAAACAGAAATACACTACCAATTTTATAATGCCAAAGGGCAAAATGCCAAGGGGCCAGCAGTTTCACCCACCATTTCTTTTGCACCACCTGTGCAAATGTGAACACAGTGAAAGGCAGGTAACAACGTATTAGTGTTCATATGAAAGTAGACTTTGCCCTTCAGGAACTCTAAAAAGGTCCAGAGGAGCCAGGGCTCTGTAGACCACACTTGAGACCTGTGGCACTGAAGAACAGAGAGTATAATTGTGTGTTTGTGTGGTATATGTAATGCTCAAAGTTTCGTCATGGCTGCATTATATGACATGTTAAGGAACACATTAGAAATAATGAAAAGGATATTGTGTCTGCCACCTGTGAATTAAGGAATCTTTATATAAACCTTTGAACCTCGGAAGAGTGTATTTACCTCTGTACATGTCCATGTGCCTACCAGTTCCTTGGAATCTTCTCACAGAAAAGATAGCATAGCCTGTTCTTTTTATTAGGAACCAGTTCTCTGGATGTTTTGGGTACCTGTTTTCCAGCGCCATTCTAGCATGGCTAAAGCCAGATTCTCACTTGTACAGGCTTAGGACTCACCATATGCCACTGATTTAACTCTTGGGCCTTTTAAACCCTAACAAGTCTAGATTTGGCCTCCCTTTTCATACTTGGGACACTTGCCTCTTAACACTCTGGAATATCTGTAAACAGACAAAAACAAAGGTTTTTTAGAAGTGTACTAATACAGGTACATTTTAGAAATATTTTAAATGATGTTTGAAGTGAAAGCTAGTTGGTTCTGGCTAGATTATTGTCATATTTGGATAAAACCACAGCTCTAAGACTTATGGCTCTGATTATATTGTCTTACTAAGAAATGATAGACTGAGACAAATAACTTGTTTAAGATGAGGAATGGAGCTTACAGACCCTTGAAGAAACAGTTAGTTATTCTATAATGATAGGCAATGATTCAAGTCAGTTGTCTCTTGATTGGGAATTGAAGTTGGGATCCAGGCCTACATTTACTATTCAGTAGCTATACCTTGGACAAATCACTGAACATTATTGTGCCTTAATTTCCTTACATGTGAAGTAAGTTTGTTAAACTAGATGGTCTTGCAACGTTGCTTTTACCATGAATTAAAGTATGAAACAGGATACTATTTTGGCTTAAACTCCAAACAAACAGAAAATTCAGTGTGCCAAAGCACTTATTTTCTTATGTCTTCTGTTCTATTTTATTCTTTTTGGAGAATATCATTCATTTGTCCTGTGAAGTAAGAACAGGAGAGATTTTGGTGTCTGCCAAAAAGTGAATGACAAATTTCTTGGTTTTAATAATTTGCCTGAGTTAAAATGTATTGAAGACCACTAGTATAATTGTCACCTGAATCTGTTGACTTACTCTTCTATGGCAACCACTAAGCAATAGTACTCCTTGAATCCTGCCTAAGAAAGTGTTTCCCATAATTTTTTAAATGAAAATGTAATTATTATCCTGCAAATTTTTAGCCTTGTTTTTTTGAGATGAATTATTCTGTTATAGAGGAAAGAATTGAGTGCATATTACCTTTTATCTAATTAAGCTAGGTAAAGGATATTTTTAAACCTGGATCAAAATAAAACGTTTATATTAATAGGGATACATTTTTCTAATTGATTTTAAGAGTTAGATTGCTATAGGTTTTGAGTAAAGTGAAGATTTTCTAGCAGGTTTTCATATTTGCTTCATTTGACAATGACCTAATACATCAAGGAGGGCTTTTTTTATCTGTTGGCAAAATAAGTGTCTTGGTTGTCATTACTTGGAACTGTATAAAATCAACTTAAAGTTCTTTAATGAATTTTGTGTTATTTTTCTTGGTTAGTAAAAAGTAGTCACTGGAGGAGGGATTCTAATCCCTCTTCACAACCCATCAGACCTCATAAATTATTTGTTGTCCCCATACCATTTTACTATTCTTTTTCCCTGCTCTGCTGGTAGATGGGAAAGCTCAGCAGTGATTTTCGTTCATCTCTATAAAGCACTTCATTGTTGGTTCATATAAAATCCAGCAATCTCAGACATTCAGAAACTGAAAATTAACTTTTCCTTGCAGGGAGACTTAATGATGGCCTATAAATACAGTGACCGTGTAATTCATCTTCTAATTTGATAATACTTTTAAAAGAGAAAGTAAATGCTATCAGTAATTATTCCAGGGCAATAGATTTAAACCAGGACTTTTTGGGGGTGAGCCAGAATGTATGCTTTAAATTGTTTATTAATTTATTAATATTTTGACAGTTTTTTTCCTCAGGAATTGTTTTCACTTTAAAAGTAATTATTTTTCACTTGTAAAATAAAGTATATTCTTCTGTCTTTACATTAAAAATGGTAATATAGTTAAGCACATTTTTTTCTGTCGATATTACAACATAAAAGTCAACCATTTAAAGTCCTAAAATTTTTTTCTCAGAATTTGCATTGGCTTAAAGCTCTGTATAAGACATTGAATCCTAAATTGATGCTACTCTGCTAATGCGAAGAGATTGTGTTACCTTACCTTATTTTTAAGTACGATAAGTAGTAAATCATGCCTATGTTTTGCTACTGTAATTCCCTGTCTTGATTGTTGAAGACTTGAACACTTGATATTTGGTAACAAATAGATGTTACCTTTTATTAGAGTATTTTATTATTGGCTTTGATTCCTCTTTAGTAAGTTTAACACTTAATTTTAAAATGTATTAGGGCTGCCCTGGCCAGTGTGGTTGGAGTGTTGCCTCATATACCAAAAAAGATTGGGGGTTTGATCCCTCGTTGGGGCACATATGGGAGGCAGCTGGTGGATGGCGTGCTCGCTCACTCTCTTTCTCTTCCCCGTCCCCTCCTCCCCTCTTCCCCCCCCTTTACCCCCGTCCTCTCTAGAATCAATAAACATTTTTAAAATTTAAAAATAAATTTAAAAAAATAAAATGCATTAGGGTCCTCTTTGGCTGATTGGCTCAGTTGGTTGGAGCATCATCCCATACACCAAAAGGTTGCAGGTTCGATTCCCAGTCAGGGCACACACCTAGGTGGCCAGTTCGATCCCCAGTCGGGGCCTATACAGGATGCAAGCATTCAGTCTTTCTCTCTGTCTCTCCCTCCTCCCTCTTTCTCCCCCCAACCTCCTCACACCAAAATCATCAATAAAGGGATTTAGTGAGGATTTTTAAAAAAAACTAAAATTTATTAGCAATCATTTGATTTCTTTCTCTTTCCTAGATTGTGCAGTCTTTTTCCTGTGATACTTATTCTGTGATCAAAGTAAAATTAGAAAATGTATACAAATATTTTTCACACCAACTTAAACTACACATATTAATAAGCATTTGTTTTCTTTTCAGATGTATGGTCTGCAGGCTGTGTGCTGGCTGAGCTGTTACTAGGACAACCAATATTTCCAGGGGACAGTGGTGTGGATCAGTTGGTAGAAATAATCAAGGTGAGGTTTAATTGAAATTTTGAACTGGAAGGAATTTTGTTGCTATCATATACATACCTAGGAAAAACTTTTAAAATGGAGAAAATGAGCCAAGATCACATAGCAAGTTCAGCTATAGAGGAAATGTAAGAACATGGCCTTTCAAGTTCTAATTGAGTTATTCTTCTGTTTTTATGTCTCAGAAAAGCCATTTTTTATATATCTACATTTATGAGACCACTGATAGAAGCAAAATTTTGACTCAGGTTTAATATAATTTTAGTTATTAAGTCTCTTGATACTTTTATTAACAACACCAGATTCAAAATATTATCTTGGAATTAATATTGTCTCTTAAGAACAGCTAGGTGTGAGATTATAATTGTGATTTTTAAATGTAATTTCTAAAAGGTCTTAATAGATGAGCTCTTATAGAATTCCCCACCTTTAAAAAAAATCTAAAATTCTATATATTTAGACCACTAGATTGGTTCATTCTAGGGTTACAGTTTGGCCAAAGCCAAACTAGTATCTTTTGGACTTTTTAAAGATTTTATTTATTTATTTATTTATTTTGGGAGGGGCGGGGATAAGGGAGAGAAACAGCAGTGTGCGGTTGCCTCTCATATGCCCCCTACTAGAAACCTGGCCTGCAGCCCAGGCATGTGCCCTGACTGAGAATCAAACCAGCAACCTTTTGGTTCTCAGGCTGGCACTCAATCCACTGAGCCATACCAGCCAGGTGAACTTTATTCTTGATTTTCCAAATGTGTCATAGAAGTGAAAAGTTAAAAATCTTTAGAGGTTATATAGTCCAGTACTCTTCATGCAATGCATGCACCTTCTTAGTTGCATTCCTAAAAGATAGTTTTCCAGTGTTTTCTTGAATGTTTCCAGCCATTCGATTGCTACATTGGGATGCAGTCCGTTTTGTGTCTACACAGCTTGAATTTACTTCTATTGTGTAGAACCATTTCTCCTTGGTAGCTTTTACCAGTTGTATACAGGACTGTGTTTAAGTTACTTTAAAATCGTTGTACTTCAATCCATAAAAAAGTTACTTTTGATAAGACAGTTTTGTTAGATATCAGTGTATGCAAGTGTAGTTGAAAAGATCAGTGTATATTCAAGAATCTTCTTGGCTATTTGTATAATTTCTTATGGTTTGTACCTGAGACCGCTATGGTATTTGCAGTCTTTTTCTTTTTTCTTTTTTCTTTTTTTTTTTTCTTGGTAACTATCTTTTAATTTCAAATTGAACCTTTAAACTTTGTTAGACAGATCTACTTCCTTCCTGATTCCCAATTACAGTCAGATCTAAAATCAAATATCTTGATATTTTTACTTCCTAAAAACCTGTGTACTCTCCATTATTAAAATTAATATTCTCATACAAGAATTGGCCAACTTTTTCCATAAAGGATTCAATAAAATATTTTGGGCTTTGTGGGATAAACTGCAAATCATAGAGATATATAACAAGAGAAAATTTTCACAGATTTTTTAATTGATGAAGTTCAAAATATTATAACAACTAAGTACAATTTTTTTGTGAGACACTACTAATTAGTTGAATAGAGTTCTTTTGAAGGCTCTAACATTTAATTGGGATTAAAGTTAGTGTTCACTGACATCAAACTGATTGCAAATGATTATCTGTAAAGTCAATTCTGAGTTCATGGGTCCTACAAAAACAGAGATTGGGGCATAATTTCCTGACCCCTGCTCTAGTGCATTTAGCATTTCTTCTCTCCCTAGGCTTTCATTTGATGAACTCCCAGTACAGTTCTTTGGGCATATTGCCATTCTTTTGTCATATATATTTAGCTTATTTGAATCTTGTAGTTCTCTATTCATTCAAGTTAAGAATTGCCATTAATTTTAATCAATTAATACATAATGCAAATGAAATTGCTCTGGAAGCTAAGTGCCCTTCTGTGATAAATTGACATCTCATGCTTGCTATCCTGTCTATTAATTAAATCTTTATGTCCAGAGCTTTTCCCTACTTTTTGTCCAGTCCTTGTAATTTAGTTTTTTTAGCTAATACTGGTTTGTGCTTATTTAATAGATTTTAGTAGAAACTATCAGTTGGTTATTGATAATTCAACACTCTTTTTTTGTTTGTGTTTTCTTGTCATGTATTTATATATGTAAGGAATATAATCATCACCCTACTATAGTTCTAAGTCACCGTCTGTAAATATTTTGAAAGTGATGTGAGATGATGGAATTCGCACCCCAGGACACTTTGGAATATCCAGCTTCTTGGTCCTAAGTATGGCTCCCCAGGACAGATGAAATATCCATTCTGGTTTACCATCTATTTGGTGACCTGAAGCTATATATTACGTTGAGGTTATAGACATTGTGTTGTGGGGAGTGTGTGTGTTTGTCTGTCTGTCTGTCTGTATTGCTTAGAGATCAGTAAACATTGTAGGGGCTGTGTGTGTAGGTGCCTTTAATATAGCTCTAGATCTTATTGATTCTGTATATCTGTTCTTTAAATATCGAGTATCGATGATGTTTCATGGAAAGAAAATTCATAACTAATTCTGATTTAACTGTTCTAGGTTTCCTGGTTTAAGTTGTAAGTCAGAAAAGAGAAATTGCGCGTTAGTTTTCAGAGTTAAATGTTATTAGACATCTTCTTTTTTAAACATACTGTCATTACTTCTAATCAGGACTTCAAGAATTGATTTGATTTTCTATGAAAGATGGCCTCATAGGTCCCCAATTCAATTCTTAATTGTTTTGAGATTATAGTCATGAGTAACTGGGAGATCCACGTTAGTCTGGGATTTTTTTCCTGCTCTCTTTCCATTTCTCCTTTGAAAACCTCATGGGGATTCCTGTGAAGTATCTGGAGGTAGCTATTACGCCCACCCGCTAAAACAGATAACTCTTCTCTGTGAACTGAGTTTATGCGAAAAAAATAAACAATAATATAGGAAACCTAATGAATTTTACATGCAGAAGACTTGCCTTATTATAAAAACTTTCCAAGAGGGGACTTTCTTGTATTTTATGTTTTAATATCCAAAGGTACCAAAATATTTTTAAGCAATATTTAAGTTGAGTTAAGCTGCTAGACCATTGTTTACTCATGAATTTGGAATTATCTGGGAATTAATAAGAAAAGTTAGTGTGATTTTTTTTTATATGTGTTGTTCATAAGTTTATTGGCTCATATGTCTATTCCAATATTTACAGCATGACTAACAGTTTTATAAACTGAGTTAACTTTGTCTTATTCTAATTAACCTTTTTAATGTTTTCCTTCTCTTTCCTCTAATAAGAAGGATTTTGCTCCCTGGTGTGGCTCAGTGGATTGAGTACTGGACTGCAAACTAAAGGGTCCGCCAGTTCTCTTCCCAGTCAGTACACATGCCTGGGTTGCCAGCCAGGTCCCCCAGTAGAGGACATTCAAGAGGCAATCACTCATTGGTGTTTCTCTCCCTCTCTTTCTCCCCCGCACTCCTCTCTAAAAGTAAATAAATAAAATATTTTTTAAAAAATCTTACCCACAGTTCATTTTTAAAAGGTTTTTACAAAATATTTAGAATAAAAATATAAAGCACAACAGAATTGAAGGTCATGAAAGAACATTTTTAAGCATGGACAACACTTCATTTTCTGAAATTTATTTCATACGGAGGATTATCAGATCAGCATTTCACTATGTTGATAGTCTATGAATATGCAAAAAATACTTGAATATCAAAGCATTTGTACAAAGAAATTCTATTAGGGACTTCTAATAAGGTAAGAATGTTTTCTTAATTTTTTTCTTAACATATTAAAATAATCTCAAGAATTACCTGATACGGTTTGAGATACCTGGTAAAAAAAAATTAAACGTTTCGGGAGAACCTGTACCAGGAATTTTACAAACACAGGTTTAGTAACATAGCATTGTCTCATTTGGTGTCTTTGCCATCAGTCACAACAGTGGGATTATTTAGAAAAGAGAGTCTTGAATGCGTAGGGAAAGTGTATTTTTTAATGACAGTTGCTTTTAAAATAATTTTATATTTTATAATTTTATGTGCTCAATAGATAAGACTGAGAAAACGAAAAACAATTATGAAGAACAAAAGTAATTACTGTTCTGGCACATCATGAAAAATAACTTCTATAAATATTTTTATATACCTGCCTGTGCATATCATATGTATGTTTAAATGAAAATGCCATCTGTTTTGTAGATTTTTTTTACAAAATAATTATTTGCATTTCTCACATGAAGTATATTTTGATATTAAAAGTGATTTTTAATGACTGCCTAGATTCTATTATGTAATTATATTCTTAATTACATCATTGATTCTGAGAATATCTTGAAAGTAGAGTGATACATTATTTCAGTGCCCCCCAAATTCCACAGATGAATTTAAGTGGAAACAATCTAGGAAGTTACAGGCCTGGGAATGCTAGAGGTTTTGCTGATAGTTTCTTTTCCCTCTCCAGATTTTATAACATAAAGTTCAAGTGAGGAAGCTTCAGACTAGAGTTAAAGTTTGGGGAAACCAACCATTTTTATAGAATTTCAAGTTTTATTTAATTAATTTATTTATTTTTTGAATTTAACGTTTTAAATGCATTAATGTTTCTAGAGATATGCTTTAATTTGTCCATGAACATTTACTTATGCTTAATAATAATTTGACCATTGCATCATGATGCAAGAGTAACTAGCTTTTTAAATTTAGATGTGTCTCTTAGAAAAACATGACAAACATATAGCTACTTAAATTACTTGCAGTAATGAAATTATTATGAGTTACCAATTATTATTAAAGTTACCAATTTTTCTTATGAAACAACTTTTCTAAACTACTGTTCAATTTTCTCAGCAATAATTACTCAACTTTTATGTTATTTACCTAGCTTACATGGCTAAGCACTATAAAACCTTATCTCTAGCAGAAACTTGAAGAAATTGGATAGTAAACAACAATATCCAAATAATCTTTTGATTGTTATTACAGCTAAGTAGATACACTTCATTTCTTATGAAG